CGAACCACGAATCAACTCCGAGGACATCGTGGCTTAGTTATTAGAAGTGTGGCGCAAATGCACATCGACAGCCGATTGATCACTGCCGTGATACTTCTACCGTGCATTAGAAACAGAAACCTCCGTGACATCCACAGCACAGCCCCATTGCTTTCACATGCCTTCAAAAATACCATTCCGGGATATTTTCTTCTCCAAAATCAGAAGCCACTTAAGGTTTTGTAAATGAACTCACAAAATAAAATTATGAAGGATTAGAATGTAATCGAGAAGACAACCCAGGTAGCGTTGCACAAGGTTTGCCAGTGCGACCATGCGTTTTTGCATGATTCCATCCCACAAAGAATCTGGCTTTACTGGGGATATGTTTATAGCGTTGCATTTTGAAAATCTGATGCGCCTGCATGCTGGTCTCATGCTTGGGCAGAAGCTCATCCTAGCCTGGTGACCCACAAATGAACAGCAAATATTTTCAGAAAAATGTTAGTTCCTACTGAGTTCGATTATCCATTTAACCGGGTGCCAACAGTGCCCAGAACTAAACATTCACCTGCGCTCACGCGAGACCCACGCGTGCTTTAAAGCTGAAAGTGAAATATTTGGGCCATACATAGATGTAGAGTATCCTCATAAAATTCCAGATGCCTACATTTTATTGGTTAGCGAAATCGCTTTTTGTTACAAACATCTTTGACGTGTCCGCACGTGTGTCCTGGGAGTACACTAAAGTTGAATTTGAAATTTTTAGCTCACACATGGAAACAGAACATCCCTGCGAAATTTTTACTTCCTATCTTATTTGGTCCCTGAAGTGGCCTTTCTCGCCAAAAAATTCCCATATTTCCATTTAGACGTCCGTACGTGAGACTCGAGCGTGCGTGAATAATATTTAAACCCGGGCTGGAGCGTACCAGCCTTGCCGGTGCGATCATGCGTTTTTACACCGGACTTGAAGTACTCAGGTCGTTAATTGCACGAATGGCTGCTGCTTTGCACCTACTTTTTGCGCGCATTAGCGAAATGAAACGAACAATTCCGTTTATCGGTCGTTTTTGTACGTCTCTGCACACACGCAAACGCAAAATTCATATTGGCAAGAGGTTGTACATGTGTGTTCGCAGTTTTTGACACCCACTTTCAGCTCGAGAACTAGTCGGGAGTATATGCCTACACTATGTGCGATCCAACCATTTTAATATCACCCACTTGCACCGGAGTCCCACATATGGCCGCCATAAAAAAAATATGCAGATTTTTTGGCGGAAAAGCGATTTCGGGAACTAGAAAGGATAGAGAGTTGAAATTTTGCATGGGTATTCCCTGTGCATATATGAGCTAAAGATTTCAAATTCAGCCCCTAGATGTGCACGGCTCTCATGTACGGGCACGTGGATTTTTGTCAAGAAAATTTCTCTCCGCAACCAGAAAAGCTGGAAGGCTGAAATTTTAAGGGTACATTCCCTGACCACGCACAACTTAAAAATTTCAGAAGTACAGGGATGTGGAAGTTCTGACAGGAAAATTACTAAGTCGAAAACTACTCAGGCTGGAACGCAGCAGGCTCTCCGGTGCGGTCATGCGTTTTTGCATTAAACTCGCAGATCGCTATTAGCAAGAATGATCCCTACGCTGTAGTCTAACACTTGGGCTCATATTGGCTGTGCTTTGATCCATTCCGGCATGCAGGAGGAAGGGCGTCAGTTGGGATGACGGTGGTGCATTATACAGCCGCACGGACATCCAGGTGCATGATTACCGGTTTGTTGCATGAAGTCCGGTCGTTTTTCCGGTAAATGCTCGCTTTGTGAAAAAATGACAAATGCAAATTTTTCAAAAAAATGCAAATTTTCAGTTCATCAAAAATCGAAAGTATTCCTCGAACGGTCGTTTTTCAAAAAATCCATGTTCATTTGCATATACAATTCACGGTTCAGGTTCGAGTCGCTAACGATTTGAGGAGCTGCTTGAGGCTGTAGTTGGGGTGCTCGACAGCTGAGTTTAAAATCTTTAGCTCGCATGTGCATACTCTATTCCTACAAAGTTTCAGCTTTCTACGTTGCCTGGTTCGCAAAATCGCTTCCCGCCAACATATTTCTTTGGGGGTCCCGTACGCGGGGTGC